TGGTCGATGTTTACCAACGTTTCAGAGGTCATACTGCCTCCGTTATCAAGACGATGTGAAGACAGAAATCTTTAATTTAATCCAGATAAACGCTGTGATAATCTGCTTTAAATTAGGATACCCTTTTGTGGCATGGTATTCACAACGAATTTTATAAAACGGTCTAATCGTTCCAGAATTAAGAAAAAAGTGTTGTACAAATGTTTGATTTCAATGCATTAATTTCTAAATTTATGAAAAGTACTCAGTGGATCTTGTAATGGACGTCTTTCCATTGAAGTGACTCCACAAGTCAAGGCAGGCTGGCAAAAATAAAAAAATAAATTATGTTTCGTTCCGACAACGTTTTTTACAAGAATGGGAGTTTTAAAATGGATGTTCTCTGGAAGCCGCGTGGATTACAAACTCCGTGGATTGTCAGAACTTTAACCACGAGATAATAAATGTATCGGGTCAAGGTTGACTTTTCTTGGCGGTACATTGCTTTGTAGTGCCCGTGCGTGACGGACTGGCGTCCGGTGATGTCTTCATTAACACACGCTCACCCCCGAAAGCCCCCCTTAACCCGTTGGCAGGTCGCTCTCGATTGTGACTGTGTAGTGTCATTATTAAACATTATCCGTCGTCTTTAATTTCGTTAAAAAAATACGACGTTTCGGAGACTGGACTCTGTCTCCGTCCACACGTAAAACCTACGCCGGAGACAGGGACAAGCCGTATCGATTGGGCCCAAGAGTAGGTTTTACCTGAGAACGGAGACAGGTTACAGTCTCCGAAACGTCGTATTTTTTAAAAAAAATAAAAATGAAGACGATGGGTGGTGTCCAGAGAGCTCGTTGTTTTTACGATGCACATTTTCACGAACCTTGAGATTTGGCTTACTTACTTAATTCTTGTTTCATGTTTTCTTCAGTAATGAACCCGAGGCACGCATATGGCCAATTCATCAAAACTAGCTGTAAGCTGTTTCACTGGTACCAACAAATCGGGGCAGATCTTTTGTCACGCAGGACACGTTGTTTTTGATTGTTGGTTTCGATTCCCGGGTACAATAAAACAGAACAAATGGCTACGTATGTTTTATCTTCGTCATATATTTTAGTATGAAGAAATATTATAATATTTTTCGTCTTTGTTTTGTGATTCAATTTTGTGTAGAAATAAACCGTAAAATTTGTAAAATATATCGGTAAGTTTTTCGTTTTTGTTTCGTCCATATGAAATATACACCGTATCGAAAAATATCTGGTATGAAACTAGGGAATTTAATGTGGTCTTAATTTATGTATTTGACTGTGTTTCTTGCGATAAGTTGTTACGAGAAACATGATGAAGATTTTGAGTTTGCGTAAAGTAGATATCATACTAAACACATACAAACCAAATAGAATTTGATGTACATGTTAATTCTACCAATTTTGTTATGTTTATTTAACGACGCTGTCAGTAACTCAGACTGTGTATCGTCGAATGGTAGGATGATTAATGAATAATAAAGGATATGGAAGGAAGCTCAAAGTGCCTAATTTTATATACTACTTGGGACGTGATTGAGGAAACCTACGGAAACCACCGGACCGAAATTTGAACCCGGGAACTCCCGACTACGAATAAGTAATGCTGGCTACTCGGTCTTATTCTTCTGTACTCGATGTAATTTAGTGTTGACTTCCAGCATGAGATTTATTCGGAATTAGTCGATTAGTCTCTCACATGGAATGGAGATCTACAGATTAATGCACTTAGCTTTGTTTTTATTTTGACACACCTCGTTATCCGTCTATTTTATTCTGTTTGTATAAAATCAAAAACTTAATTTTGTACTGTTCTGTGAAGTGCACTAATCAATACGTCTGAATCTTACGTAGGAATTTTGTTAAGTGCCGGTGCTCTGAAAGAAGTTTGTGGAACCCTGCAGGATATTTAACCCAAAAAGGAAAATGACAAGACGAGAAACGAAACATCACGCCCACTTGACTTGTGTCCTGCAACCCCCGTGGAACTCAGTACAGAACACCGACCCCCCACATTCATTTATTGAATGAGGGACCTGGTATTATGTGCTGCGAGCTCCTTGAGAATTCAGTCAGCCAGAAGTTTAAATGATTTTCTGTCCCTGTTGATCCTCGGTATAAAGCAATGTCATTCACAGACCGATAGAGGTTCATCACGCCCATCTGTGTATGGGGCTCTTTTCAGCTCTCCCTTCCAGACTGTAAAGATGTCCTTGCAAGTACTAGTATTATACAAATAACGAGAAATTGCCTTTGTTCGTCTTTTAATGAATTGGACTAGGCTTACATGAGAAGTTGACAATCACTGAGATAATCAGAAGTGTTGACCATTTTATAGAACCGGATCGTTCAGTGTAGCTTTCAGAGTAGCCCACTAATAATAGCCCTTACTCTGGTCCAGATAAAGTGTGTCTACGTCATAACAGTCAGTCTGTGATCAGTTTTACTATTATTTTCCGAGTCACATTCCTGTCAGAACTTCTGAAAGGAAGAAAGCATTTAAGGATGTCCTTAATAATATTAGTTTAATTGGGAGAGAAGATGTGGAATGGATAAGGACCTGTGGTTTTCAGCTTTTCAAGTGGATTTAGTTTCATCGAGTTGCTTAGTTCTGAAGTAAAATTGGTAAAAAGTCTAAAATATTCGAAGAATTTTGATTAAATTTGATAATTAATATTTTTACATACGTAATTATGAGAATTTAAGCTCTGTCTGTATTTGAAGATGGCTGTCTTCTGGGTTGTAGCGCCGTGTAGTCTGGTAGATGTTTACGGACGTTACAGAGGTCCTTGCTGCCTCCATCATGAGGGCCAGTGTGACTTCCACTTTGTGTCTCCATATGGCTCATAACAAACTAGTATGTTTCTATAAAAGACAGTTTATGATTCAAAGCATACCACCCGCACATACAGATCTCATTCACGTCCGCAGTTCACTGCCAGGACTGAGGGTACGATAACGTGCTCTTGGTCAGGGGCATGTTCCGAAACGTTTTTTCAATATGATTAATGTGTACCATTCTATAGGAGAGACCTTCAGTTGTGAG